CTCCAAGGACAGTGACTCCACCACCTCCCTGGGCAGCCCATTTCAATGCCCAATCACTCTTTCTGTAAAGAACTACTTCTTAATGTCTAACCTAAACCTTCCCAGTAGGACCATGCCCTCTTGTCCTACTGCTGGTTGCCTGGGAGAAGAGACTGATACCCACCCAGCTACAATCTCCTTTCGGGTAGTTGTAGAGAGTGATGAGGTCTCCCCTGAGCCTTCTCCAGGCTAAACACCCACAGCTCCCTCAGCCTCTCCTCATAGGACTTGTGCTCCTGTCCCTTCACCAGCTTCATTGCCCTTCTTTGGACAAGCTCAGTATCCTTCCTGAACTGAGGGGCCCAGAACTGGACACAGTACTCGAGGTGCCTGTTTACTTCACTTTGGTTGTTATACCTTTCTTCTCTGCTACAAATAAGACTACGAAGTATCATCACTATTGTGAAAGACCTGATCAAAAAAGCAATAATCACTACTATTCCAAATCACATTCACTTTCTCATTTCTTACTGAAATGTACACATTCCAATGCAGACTTTCAAGACACTATTTTTTGAATGGTCAGTAATGCAAACTGTTCTCAGATTAATCCTTCTTGACTTTTTCTTTTCAAGTGTCTTTTGTAATTTTTATAAGAAATTAACTGCATCTGTGTGGGGAGAAGAGAGAACGTTCTAATCATTATCCAAAGCAGTGAAGCTGTGCAATAGGACATCTGTGTTCCCAAAGATTTAACATTTTACATTCTTCTTTGTCCTTTTTAATTAATTTTTATTACTGTCTTCTTTCCCTTTGGTTCTATGTTTATCATACTTTCATTGTCATATTCTTTTTTAAATTAAAGTATTTGTACAAAGATTTTTTAGGAATTTTAGCAACTCAGCCCACAGATCCAGTTACTGATACAGTCTAGAAAACAGACTGCACTCAAATCTGAAAATAGTTTACTTTAGTATTGACCACTACAGACATCATGTTGCTGATCTTCCTGAGGTTTGTGACTACCACTTCACTGTGCATTCACACGGATGCACTAAGCTAGAAAGGCAGGAGAGAAGCTCGGTCTACATTTTGGAAGCATTTATATGGTGCGCTTTTTCCATAAAATTATAAATTACTATAACCAAAGCAAAGAGGCCATCATGTCTAACAGGAACAAGTGTATCGACCTGCAATTCTGCAACAGATTACCAGTACTATTGACAAGAGTCGTATGCATTATATGCACGGTTTTGATAGGTAGGGTTTCAATATATAAAGGCTTAAAAGAAAGATAGAGAAAAACCTTTTACCAGGGCGAGTGACATGACACAGGGCAATAGCTTCAAACTGGAAAATATTGGACATAAGGAGGACATTTTTTATGATTAATGTGGTAAGGCACTGGAACAGGTTGCCCAGAGAAATTGTGGGTGTCCTGTTCTTGGAAATGACCGAGGCCAGGTTGGATGGGGCTTTGAGCAACCTGATCTAGTGGAACGTGTCACTGCCTGTCACTGTGGGTCATCAGGCTGGACTTCTTATTCAGTGAGTGTATAAGTAAGTAAATTAAATTAAGGATTTGGCAGTAGGCTGACTGTAAGCCTATTTCAGAAGCCTATGTCACATTTTAGTTGAGAATAAGCAGATGCCCATTGTATGAATTTTAGGTCAGGGTCAGAACAATAAACTTCAGTGTAGATAAGGTAAAAAACAGATCAAGAAAAAACCCACTTAGGTCCAGAACAGGCTGCAGGTTTGTGCAGTGCATTATCATGTATACTGTTCTACTCTCACTCTCCCTCTCTCTCACTCTCACACACTCTCTCCCTCTCTCTCCCTCTCTCTCTCTCTCCCCCCCCCCCCCCCTTCGGGTAGATAAAGGTCACTGTACTTTTGGCTACCATTAGGATCATGGTGTTTGCAAATAGGCTGGCAGAGGCTTTGCAGAAGCTGTAACACCTACCCTTAGAAAGGACTCGTGGATAGCCTAAAAAGAGCTTCAACTTTCTCTTACTATGGAACACGACTCAGTTTGACCGGTCCACAGCTCTCCCCATTATACAATATTCCCATGACTTGACCGTGCTGTTCACCTATGCATTTACAACCTGGTTACACCTTATCACACCGCCGTGCCGGCAGTGCCGGTGTTGTTGGGCAGGCCATGGCATTGGCGGCTCTGACCCTCCTCGGCAGGGGACGCAGCCCAGGCCGGCGGGCGGAGGCTCCTCCCGCCGCCGCCTCCCGGCGCCCCCCGCCGGGCCATCCGCCCGCGCCGGGCGGGATGCGGGGCGCTCGCCGGCGGCTCTGCTCCGCCCTGATCCTCGCGTACGGGCTCTTCTCCCTCTACGCGGCCTACACCGTGTTCCTGCGGCCGCGCCGTTCGGCCGCCCCTCGCCCGCCGCACCGGGACCGCCGCGGCCAGCGAGGTGAGCAGGGCCGCTTCGGGCCGACGGCCCGGCCCGGCCTGGCCCGGCCGGGGCGGCGGGCGGGGACCGGAGGGAGCTCCGGAGGGAGAGCAGGGCCGGGGCCGGAGCCCCACCGCTCCCCGATAGGCCTGCGCAGGCCGCGGCCATTTCCCCAGTGCTGCGGGAGGCACCGGGTCGCGGCCCGGCAGTAGAGGAGAAGGAAGCGGTGGCGGCGGTGGTGTGCCTGGCCCGGGGCAGTGGGAGGTGATGCTTGAAATTATGGATTCCAGAAAATTCTTCAGTTTTTCTAAACCCGTGAATCTGACCGTTTTACGTAAATTACGCTTTTAGGTTTCACAAATCATGTTGCCTTGGGAAACGAATGGAATCCATGGGAAGAGGACGAGAAAAACGAGCTGGCTGCTTCTCAGCAGAGATATGAAGCTAATCTTAAAATGATAAAATATGCGAGATCTCGCCTAGAACAGACCAGTCTTAGAGTACAGATTTGGGGAAAAGCAGCAATTGGTAAGCAGATGTAACCAGTGTCTATTAATCACATAACCTTTCTAATATAGCATTTTCCCCTGCTTTTTAATGACTAAAATTTATGTATATGATTAAATAGTATGTATATTTGTACGTGAAGATTGTTAAGGAAGTGGTAGCTGTTATTCAAATTTGTACCAATGTAAGAGTAGTTACACTTTAGTTTCTTTCTATCAGTTCTTTTCAAGGCTGTTTTTTGCATCTGGCAAAGAAAATGTCTCAAATAACAGAGAAACACAGTTACTTTTTTAATCCAGTCTGGTTTACAGTACAACACAAGAACAGGCCTCCTATTTGGTTAAACGAGACTATATATTTTTGTCACATTTACACTTCCTGAAATAAAGCATCACACAGTGAGAAATAAACCATTTTGTGTACTGCAGTACTACGGCCAGTGATGAGCTTGGAAATTCTTCTGTTGTAGAAGACACTGAGTATACTCTACATAAACTAGGAGCCAAAGTCTTCTCAAGCTCTTTAACTACTACCGACAATATAACATTTTTCTTATTTTAGCTTTTTGAAAATGCCAAATTTCCAGCTTCAGGTAAACTTGCATGTAGCATTGTAGAACACATTGGTAAATTAGCCAGTGGCACATTCCACCACAAAAAAAATGGTGTGTTTCACAAAAGCTTAAGAGAAGTATGCTTGTTCTTAAAATGCTGATTAAAATTTGCTCATTTTTAAGTGGTATGTGTGCTGGAAGGAGATGCTAACAGAAGTAGTGGTATATCTTCATCTACTGATATTTTGTCAGCCAGAGAATATCTTTAAGTATATCTTAAAGATATTCTTAAAGAATATCTTCCCAATACAGGAAGAATTAATCTGAACTAATTCAAAGTCATACAGACTTTGAGAAGCAGTGTTCCCATTATATAAGAAGCTCTGACATTTCTTTCCCGAGTTCTTACATTGTGATGCTTTTTCGTTTCCTAGAAGTTATTTTATTTGCTAGGAGTTTAGAGTATGCATGATCTGTGCATTCAAATTCTCCATCATGTCTTCTTTTGTGTAGGTCTTTACCTTTGGCAGCATATTTTTGGAGGGCACCTTGAGCCAGCTGATGTGACTGCACAGTGGAGAGAAGGAAGCCAAAAAGCAGGAAAAACATATTTCAGGTGTTGTTCACGATGCTGATTTCAATTGTGTAAACTTTAACAAATAATGCATTGGAAAGTTAAAGTACATTATAAGATGCACAGGTGGATTATTTTGCCTGTCTCAAAGTTGTAGTTATTTCAGTATCAGCTGCAAGTCCTTTTTAATTTTTTTGTGTTTTGATAACTATGTAAAATGTACACAACTTCTCATTCATTCAATCATATCATTTATTCATGGAAACACATATTTGATAAATGCAGCTAATCCTAGCCTAAACAAGTCAGTGTTAAAAAATAGAAAACCAGGGAGCAATTTCATCTGTCTTATGAAGGTTTGTGTTATTTGAAAAAAATAGAGAAAGACTTACCAATGCTGAGAGGAAGGGCAGCCAAGAGACCTCAGTGGCACTGGTGGGGAGGGAGGACATAAAATCCTCAGAAAAGTCTTAAGAACTGGGGTTTGGGGGCTCATAGTTGACGACAACAAGTGTGGAATTTTGAGGCAAGAGGAGGTCTCCTGCTATTTGGTTTCTCTGTATTCAGGGAAAAGGGTCTTGGTCATAAATAGGATTGCATCAAAACTTTGTTTCTGTTTATAACAAAGGCAATCTGTGAGGACTAGCATCTGTGTAGCTACTTGACTTGAAAGACAAAATTTTACACGTAAAGGAAGATTACACTTAAAGCACTGTTTGCTTTAAAAATGGTGCTTAATCTGTGATCATACATGTTTTAAGATTGATGTCAAATGTTTTATATTATTCAGTGAATCATATATTCTTTTCTCAGAAGTCCTATTTAATACCATTGTAAGGCTTTCTGTAAAGATACAGTGAAGGATTTTTTATCTACTTGGCCGGTTAGCCAATCTGCAATAGTAGATCTCCTGCAACATTAAGTCACTTGCACCTGGACTCACCTATTAAAAAAGTTTTCTCTTAATACATAAAATACACACTTAAGTGAGTGTAACTTCTGAAAAATATCTTGTTTCAGAAGAGTGTTTTTTTCTTACACAGTAAGATGTGGTTCTAGTTGAAATTTGTGGGTATTGTTTGAAGTAAATATGTGCTGGTGAATTGAAAGGGGTTTTTAAGTGATCACAAAAGTTTTTTATCATTTTGAATTGTTTATTGATGTATCTAATGTTGAACACGATACAGGCCATAGAATATTTTCAGTAATGCCTGCATCACATTCATAAGAGATTAAAACTGTTTTCTAGAAAGATATATGGGCTTGATTTATGCATAGCAATTATTAAAGAGTCTGTCTTATATCTAAGGAAATTGATGAAATTGTGTACTCTTAAAAAAAATAGCTGTATTCCTTGTCTGCAAATAAAAGATGATCCTACAGTATTAGAGAATCAACTATGAACGATGCTACTGCATCTTGGCAGTCTCCTTGACAGAGCAAGAGAGCTTTCCATTCACAAATTTAGAGAGGGAATACAATGCTTTCTTTGAATAAGGACCAGTGCCTGTAGTGCTGTATGGGTGGAAGAGACTTTTGTTGTTCCTAGAATTAAAATCTCAGAAGTCCAGAATTTAAATCTACAGAAATCCATCACATTCTGCCAGATAGGTTATCTTCTTGGTATTCACATGCAAATTTCTTTCAAGCTTTTCAAACCATGTTTATAACATGAAAATAATTTGCTGCACTTAATGAGTCTGTCACTTGACTGATTATGATTATTTTACTTCTGGTGTGCCTGTTTCAAATGATTAATAACCTCACATGATTCCTTAGGGTATGCATGTCTCAAAGAAAAAGTTCTATACTTGCATTTAAATATCTTCTTGTTGTGTTTAGATGGACCAGGGATAATAGAGTCCTTATTTTAATTTCAGCTTGGATGCTAGATCCTATAAAATACAAAGCTTAAGTTTGGTAGCAACATAACAAAACTTAACTTTTGAAAGGCTAGTAGGAACTTGTAGTGCAAAGTATAGAAAGTATGCAAATATCACTGTTAGTTTAACAATTAGGCTTCTGAAATGAAATAGCTGAAGTTATACTTTTTGCTCAAATTGGAAATACTATTTTGCATTTTTGTTGTGAAAAAGAATTAGTACATGATTTTGGCTGCTCACTGGTTATAAGATTTTCTAGAATGTTGACTTTACTGCCTGGCTGAGGTAAATTATCTCCATTTGATTACTAGATGAGGCTAGAGGGAACTAGCTGAGGTGACCTATTTGGAGAATATGTGCTGCTCTGCAGTTTTTTGTGGTAAGTCTAATGATTGTTAAAAAATTGAGGTCTAATAAATGTTTTCAAAGCATATCAACTCTAAAGACACAAAAATGCCAAAATATCACTTGAACGTAGTTGCATGAATTTTGTATATTTATGATGGAGAATAAACATATTTAATATAGATTTTGCTGGCTTCAAGCTTTCACCAAAGAAGCTGCCTAAAGAATACTGAAACTATCAACGTCTCCGTGAAATGCAGGGATGTTTATTAAAAAACATGAGTGGAGAAGGAACTACATAGCTGTGGATTTTAATGACATGTTGGCACGTTCATACAAGAGGCAGGAGAGCAGGATTTAGCACTTTATTTGGCCTAGAGCAATTCACATCCTTCTCTCCTGTCATCTAGGAAGATGTTGTAGGGCAGGGAGTGCCAAACTACTTATCTCTTATTATTAAGTAAAAGCATTCCTAAATTTCTGTTCCACTGATTAACACCCTCTATTTTATAAACATTCAATGCTGCCTTGCCTCAGTCCCCGTTAACCCCAGTTGTTCTGCAATTACTCGCCATTCTCCTACCCTCTGTACACAAATTGCAACCATCTGGATTTGTGCCAGAATGAAAGCCTATTGGTCAAAAAAATCAACCAGCAAAGGTTTTTATCTGTCAAAGGATTCCACCAGGGATACCTTGTGGCAATTCAGTTTTAAGAAAACCTTTTGGTGAAGCTTTTTGAAAATCCAAATGCATTACATCTACTGGATCCTCTTTATCTGTGTTCTTACTGACACACTCGTAGATCTTCATCAGATTAGTAAAACAGGACAATTAATTTCCAGCAGTGCTTATCCATATATGTGGTCAGTGATCTTACCTTTTGATAAGATGCAGTGATCTTACTATTCTTTACAGACTCTTCCAGAGAGGGAATTCATGCTGACTGGTCTCCTCCAGGGTCCTCTCAAGTTGTTTCTGTAAATGGGAGTTTTGTGTTGATGGGTAGACCCCTTATCAAGCATAGTGTCTCTTCATAATGACACTGCACACCTTTGCCAGCAGTTCTGCAATTTCACGTTCCTTCAGAACTCTCAAGTGAATGCCATCCAGGTCCAAATTCTCTGTTTGATATAATACTTATTATGTTTAAACTTGTATTTCTTTCTGAAGGGAATGAGTTTACATGTAGGAATCTTCCTTAGTTTTCGATTAATTCATATGGGGTTTGGGAAGTATGTGTTGTTTACTTTTTGGATTAAAGTGCTTGGGCTTCTTATACAGTGTTTGTGAACAGTCTGCAAACTCCTTGAAAGCTTCTTGTGATTTGTACTGCTCCTTTCCAAGTTCTTATCCTGATTTTTTCATCTTTATGTAATTCCTTTATTGCATATGGAGTATCTCTACACTATTTGGTATGATCTCTCGTGCTGCAAGTGCTAAACGTAATCATACCGCTGTTACAGAATGACTGTGTGACTAACACCTTTGGAATTGGGTCTGGAAGACCCAGTCTAGAATACCATGTTTTTGTATGGATTCTATGATTAGTAAGGAAAAACAAGGACTTTGTAGAAAGCAAGTCATGTATTTAGTCAAAAAAATGTAATCTCCCCATACCATCCTTGATCTAGCCTTCATGTGAGTGGTTAGTACTGTTAGTACTACTGCCCTAATTTTGCGGCTTTTGTAATCTCCCTTACATTTCCCAATCCCAATTGTGTTCTGACTGGGAGTTAATAGTACAATCCTAGCACTGTGTTTTTATTATTAAAGTATGGGATTTATGAGACTTTCATAGTGTTACCTTTTTTCCCCACTGTAATTTTATGCATTTAAACTTCATATTTTTCTACACACAAGTCAGTACTTCCTGACCTGTACATCCTGCTATTCCTGTAAAGTTGATGCTCTCAAACTGCTGTGTCATAGATAAAACCTTTTCCCCCATGTCTCTTTTTGCAAGGTGATCACTGGACCATCTACATATCCTAGTCACTATTTTAGGCATTCTGAAGCTCAAGGTATTCTCTCTTAGGAATCCCAGTGATTCTGTTCTGATCGTCTGTTAAACTTTGGATTTAAGTCTTGGTCTGACTTACATTTAATCTATTAGAAGTCTTGATTTCAAGTCATGAGTTTCATGAATTTTGGATCCAAAGTATGCCACTCCCACCAAGCCAGCAGCATGTCAGCTTAACTCAGGTTTAAAATACGCTTGTCTAAGGTCAGTCTACTCCAGATAACCTCACTGGGACACAACAGCTTTTGTTGTGAATTTTTTTTTCCTCTCTAGGTACACTTGAACTGAAGCTAGCTGTCAGTCTCAGCACTTCGTGAGTTAAAACTCATGCTCATTATAACTTAAGTTTTGCTGGTAGCTGAAAAACTAGTGCAGCAGACCTAGAAAACTTATTAAAATTATTAAAGATTTTATGATTTTGCTACCTGACTGAAATTTATCTGTTAAATACATTGAGCAGGATCTATAAATGCCATTTTCTACCTAGAATGATTGTGCTTTCTAGCATATACAGCAAACCTAAGTTTACATTTAGATAAATACTTCTTGTGTTACTGATTCTATTTAGTAGAAACTTAACCAAAATTACTGACAAAATTAGTATACCAGACCAGCTAACTGTCCCTCTTAATGATACCTGGTTTAGTATACTCACCAGGTCTTTGGGAGGGCCTTTCTCTCGTTCTAACACAGCAGTCACTGGTTATTACTGGAATTAAGACCTTTAGTGAACATCAAAGTACACCACTTTTTTAGAGGTGATTGATTTACACACGTTTTTAGGTTTAAGTATAGTACTAGTTCTGATTTATTGACAAAATACTTTATTTAAGTCTAAATCTCCTTTTTCCCAACAAAGATGAAGGCAACCTTAGTCCTGTGTTAAGCAGTAGATACTAACAGCAGAAGTGGTTACAGTTCGCAGTATGTTACATCTGCTTTATTGATGAAAAAATAGTCTCAGGATTACAGACTGTGTAGTAAGGATGTTTAGAGGATTAAGGTCAATAATTTGTTTTACGGGTGTTTACTGTTCTCATTTTGGTTTCCTCAGCTTCCTCACCGGCCCATCCGTAGTTCCTGGCTACTTCTCGGTGGAAGCGGAGCACGTCGTGCTCGTGCTGAACGGGAGGGAACAGGCGAAGGTCGCGGCCGCCACCCAGTGGCTGCACTACGCACAAACGCTAATTCAGACCCGCAAAATCCGGCACGTGGCCGTGGTGCTGCTTGGAAACGAGCAGTGCAACAACGGATGGATTCAGCCGTACCTGAAAAGAAACGGAGGATTTGTGAACCTACTCTTTATTACCTATGACTATGCGTTCGTAAATGAAGAAGATATTTTCCAGTGGCCTTTGGGAGTAGCTACGTAAGTGCGTAGACAGAGGTTGCAATTGAAACAATTTTTGTGCATGAGGTGCGGAAAATATGACTTACTGCTGATGCCCAAAACAATTATAGTAAGTAAATTGTAGAACGTGATCCTGTTAATCATTTTATAAATCAAACATTGGGATCCTTTGAAATTGCATTTAGAAATAAAAATGATAATAGGAAAAGAATGGCAGTGTTTAGGGAGCTTGGAAGGTTTTCTGTTTGTTTTTTCTTTAATAGATTTGCTCTTGAGATTTATCATGTCTGCTGATGTAATATGTACCAGTGACATGGGGGATTTAAAAGATACTTATGTAATTAAGCTCCAGGTACTCCTTGCTCAGAAATGGAAAGGTGATTCTGGTGGTACTTTTTTTAACCTCTGTTATGGCTCTTAAAAGGCAGTTGTGTGCTTCCTGGTTTGAGTTGTTATACTCCAGTATCACAGCAGCATAAGCTGGCTTAACTGCATGCTTACAAAAACATTTTTATTATACTTATCTGCTCAAACTACTTGTGTGGAGTAAATAAAGGCTCGGTTCAGTTAGATGCACTTTTACTTCTTATTAACAGAGAGTTAATAGTGGTTTAACTACTTATCACGGTAATATAAGCTGAAAGGAGCACAGGATTGTTTTCATATCTTGTGTTGAATTTGAATTCAATTTCCTGTATCGATCCAGTTGGCTCAATCTGGAAAACTGTATGTAGTTTTTTATATATAGCTTGAACTTGCTTACAGTGTCTCTGAAATATGATAAATTTGGATTCTTGATGGTGTCAGAAAATTGTTGGCATTGGAAGTTCCTAAGCAAAAAGAAGATGAATTTTGAGATGCAGAGATTAAGGTGACAGTTAACAGAAAGCAACAACATTTACAACAATAAAGTAAGGTGCACAGCTGGGTGGAGAAAGATAAATATGGTATCAAAATGGAGGTTTGCAGCCCTTGCACACCAAGGAGTGTAAAAAATGTGGTTAAAGGTGTGAACGTGTGCCAGATTCTCCAAGTGAAGAGAGAAAATGAAGATGTAGAATGCTGTAAAAATATTTGTCATGAAGGAAAGAATGGTTCTCAGAAAGTAAGTGAATTAACATTCATTCCACAGGAGAAGAATGAGGAAAGGACCATCCATCAAATAATGTACAAGCTTTTTAGTAGCCAAAAGATTAGATTATTGAAGTCCACTCAGATCAAAGTGAGATTTTGCTTTGAGAGGTTACTAGTGGTATTTTCAGTTGATAGGCATGCCCAGAGATTAAGGTGGCTGAGACTTAAACACCATAGTTACCATTAACCTGGTCATTTCAGTCAAAACTTGTGGTTGCATCAAGAGCAGCTGCTTTGGAAAAGCATGTTACTCAAGGACATTTTGTAATATGCACACATAGTATTTCTGATCTTGAAAAAAGACATAAGTATTTTGGAAAGTCTCTGAAGAGAGTGGTGGGGGCAAAGAGAATAAAGACCTACTTTTAGGACAGGATTTAAAGTGGTTTGCTTGTGTGTGGTTTGCTGTCTGTGTTTATATGTGTGGATTGGCAACAAACAGGTGCTTTTAGTCTTAAAATCTGATGCAGTAAAGATGAAATGGTGCAAAATGTTTTTCCTTTGACATAAAACATATAGTTGTCTAATTATACATTGTTTTTACAGCTACAGAAATTTTCCAGTTGTAGAACCCAGCTGGTCAATGCTACATGATCCAAGATCATATCTATGTAATTTCTTAGGGACAGTTTATAAGAACTCTTCTAGAGAAACCCTAATGGAAATTCTGAAGCAGGATGGGCTTGACAAACTTTGCTGGATTGCAGCCAGAGAACAGTAAGACTTTTAATTTATTTCGTGAAAATATTAAGATTTTCTTGCCTGGTTCATTATTACTAATCTTTTCTTGAGCATTAAAAAATAGTACAAATAAAGGTAATCAGTCATAATTAAATCAGAGAACATTGCTGAGACTCTTTGTGTAGGTCTTCATAACAGCCTTTCTGTTGCTATATTTTACATAAAGCATATTTTTAAATGCATAGAAAAATCTCCTACATATATAACCATCAAAGATCATCAGGTTTTTTTCTTGAATATATTTGATTATGGTGGGAGAAGAAATATTTGTCTAGTGTTTTGTGTGGTTTAACGTCTTTAACAGAAGAAAGAAGACAACCATATTTTGTTGTGTTCCATATAAGAGAGTGGATTTAATCTGTACAGCATGGTTGTTTTTTATTTCAAGTAGGTGGAACAGATCTTTTGACTGACAAGAGTAGGGTTCTGATTGTATTTCTTAATTTTGAAAAGCAGCACTTATAAAATGTTTGATAGCAGGCACAGCAGTGCTTAGGAAGACCTCAGCTACCCTGATGAAGAGTCTCAGGAGATGGATTGTATCTGTGACATAGACTCTTATCTCACAGACATTCTGGGGCACTTCAGGAGATGGATTCTGGTTACATGGTTTGCTTTACATCCTAACTTTTGAAAAGCAAACCTCTACTCATGTAAAGTATTTGAGGCCAAACAAAGTCATTAAAAAGTCCATTAAGTATCTCCCTGTTGGTCTGGTTCTGAACTGTGCTGTGAAGTAAATTGACATATGCGTCATCCAGGTCATGCAGAAGATTTAAAATGGCATTTCAGTTTGTTTCTTACACTTCTACGTATTAATAATTTCCTAAAAGGACGACATCTAACATGGTTACAGTCTATTTTTACCAGTGACATTTTCAATGAATTTTTAGAAGACTCTTAAGAGCAGTTAAGACTAAAAGTAAAAGCCCATTGATTGTGTGTGTAATATAAAATTCTTACATTGACAGCATTTTCATCTTTATGCATAGTTGAAATTAAAGCATATCACTTATTTTTTCGTTGCAGTGTCTGTGGGAAAAATATTAATTTTAACACCCTTTACTTTCCTAGGTGGCAGCCTCAAGAAACAAATGAAAGTTTCAAAAACTATCAAGATGCCTTGCTGCAAAGTGATTTGACATTGTGCCCAGTGGGAATAAATACAGAATGTTACAGAATTTATGAAGCTTGTTCATATGGATCTCTGCCTGTTATAGAAGATGTAATGACACCGGGTGATTGCGGAAATTCATCAATGTACCACAGTGCTCCATTACAGTTATTGAAAACCATGGGGGCTCCATTTATCTTTATTAAAAACTGGAATGAGCTTCCTGCTGTTCTAGAGAAAGAAAAAAAAATGAGCTTACAAGAAAAGATTCAAAGGAGAAGAAAGCTTTTAGAATGGTATCAAAACTTCAAAGCATGGATGAAACAGAAATTCATTATTACTTTGGAAAATTCATTTTTGCCCAGTGATAAAGGATAAATTGTCCCTTTTGAAAATCTAGAATAGATTGCCAGCTTAATTTCCATTAACCTTCTGAGGCAGCTTTTACAGAAAAGTAGTCTCACAGGGTGGATGCGTTCCTTTTATAGTCAACAGAATTGCTCTAGCTTGGCCAAGAGCTTAATTTGTCCCTTCATTCTTAACGATTTTCAGAGAGGTTGTTGACTTAGTAGGGTGGTACTCTGCAAGGATGACAACAATTTCATTACTATTTTCACAATTTCCATGTCCCTGTGTGACCTGATAAAATTTTTTTAGGATAATATCTTTGAGCATGTGAACTTTTTAAAATCCAACATAAAAATATCAGTTGTGTTTGAAGAAAAGAGGAGAATGAAAGCTGTATGGCACAGGGTAATTTATTATGTAGACTGAAGCAGAAAAGTATTACAGCAAAATTGCCAGGTTTAGCACATCCCAGTAAGTGCTTGTTCTGAAAATGTGAACCGTTTACTTGATTGACATTTCATTTCCAAGAAAGTGGCTATAAGGACTGTGAAATAAAAATGTATATTTCAAGGTAAAAATAGAGAACTCTTTCTTAAAAATACTTCATAGCAATATATTTCCCCTTTAACTTCAGTTATCAGCTTTCTTTCATTTCTATTTAGTCTTGGGACATACCTTTCTGCACTTCTGCTGCAGGAACATTCATTACCTGCAGTTGCAGCTGTGCATTCTAAACACCGGGCCTTAAACATGAACCTGTTTGTAGCTTACCTGATTTCTCAAGATCTGCTGAAACTTGTCAACTCCAAAAGAAGTATAATATTGTATGTTTATGGAGCTACATGTACCATAAACAGTTTCAATGCTTTTTTTGTTAAATATAGCTGAAGTGATCTGTTACTGTTCTTGCCCACCAGGAATGAATCTGCACTGTTACCTGTGTGTTTGGCTGAGCAGTGTGACTGCACACACACCACTGGCCTAACCAAAGAGTGTGTCATAGACATTTTTCCATCTTACAGCAGCATGACATATGGGTTCATTCTCGTACAGGAATTCAAAGGCTGGTGCAACTCTACAGCTAAGTAATACTCATTTGTGTAATGATACTATCTGGTGGTGAAATATGTGCCATAAGAGCATTTCTGTGGTTTTCTTTCAATTTTCTTGCATCCTTTCTGTGTAGCATCAAAAAAAAGGCACCAAACCAACAAAAAATTGAATCAAAACCCGAAACATAAAAACACAGGGTTTTAGTTTGCTAACAGTGGATCATACCCACAGTGGCTGCTCTAGATCAGGAATAAGGTATGTTTCAGAACACTTGTATTTTTAGGAGATGTATTCCATGTGTTTAGAAGAGGCTCTCAAAAGATAAATAATCTAAATCCAAATAATCTGAATTGTATGTCTAACGTGAATATCCAGTGACTATCATCCACCCATATTATCTGAAACATCATGCGGTTGCAATACAATGCAAACATTCCCCATTCAGCTGAAACTGCAAGTACAGCCCTCACAGCTCATCGAGTTCATGAGCACTGCTTGGAGGTGGACCCTGTTAGGACAAATTTAGCAAAAATTTCCACACCAAGGATCTGAAGTAGCCCATCAGTAGTACATAGCACTTGGAGGGTTAGAGGAAGCTTGAGTATGTGTAATAATCGTAGAATCATAAAATGGTTTGGGTTGGAAAGGACCTTAAAAGATCATCTAGTTCCAACCCCCTGCCATAGGCAGGGACACTAGATGAGGTGCTCAAAGCCACATCCAGCCTGGACTTGAGCATTTCCTGTGATGGAGCATCCACACCTCTGGACAACCTGTTCCAGTGCCTCACCACTGCAATAATGTAATGTCAGTGCTGTATTTGCCTTTTAGCAGAATCTTTATTTCTACACAGGCTACAAAACTGCAGAGCAATGATCTAGAGCAGTATTTTTCAGCTTGTCAGCAGATCCTTTGGCACTCCTCCAGGATTTCAAGGAACTGCAGAAAAAAACTCCGAGAGGGAGGTCTTTACCAGTCAGCTGAGATTCTTATAAAAAAGGCTACAGCTCCTAAAAAACAGTGGTATGGAGGTTGAAGTCTGAAAAACAGTTCAGTGTGTTACTTGGTCATCAGTAGACGAAACATGCTGCTACTCATGCGTTCATTTCTAAGTAAATGTGTGAGTTTTTCTTAAGGGAGGCCAAGATGCACCAAAGTTTTCACAGAATTTCACATTGCAGCTGTTTGCCTACTTTGCGAGTTCAAAGGGAAATGATTGGCACTTACCTGACTTTCAAATTCATATTCTTCAGACCAACAGGATTTAGCACCAGAAGGAAGTTTTTTGTGTTGTATTTCCAGTGCTAATGGAACAAAGAGGGCAAAACATCTTGAAGCCAAGAGAGGGTTCCTAATGCATTAGGTAGGTTGTGAGTATTTTGTTTTCTTATTCCACTGTCCAACTTGAGGGAGAGATTGTAGTTCTCCCGTTTTTATTCCCTGATACTTACTCATTGGAAAAATTGTCTACTTTGTGCTCTGTTTGGATCCAGAGATGAGAAAGACAACAAAACGGACTATGGGAAAGAAAGGGTGAGACTGAGAGAGGAAAGAGTGGAAGAAATCAGAGAGGATGTGTTATCAGTGATAGACAAAACTGATTGAAGAGAAGCAGTTAAGCCACTGGCAAAAAATGATGGCACAACACGTCCACGTAGGAGTAGATAGTATCGGCTGTCAGTGGGAAGACGGCAAGTAAGTTCGGTTGTTTAATACTAAGAGGAGAATGTATGCTCTGTTTTTGCAGTTAGCCCTCTGGTTCAAGTCTGGGATGGTGAAGCATAACTTTTCCAGAGCATAAAACAATGCCTCATAGCTGTGCATGGAGAGGGACTTCTGTAAGAACTGAGCCTGCCTGGAGTCAAGAATGCCATTTGTAGCATCAAATGTTACACAGATTGTTAATTATGCAGTGTTTTGCATCATGCTTAGATTTGTATGTGGAATATATAACTCTACCAGTTTTGTTTTCTGAAGTATTTCCTGATGATGAAGACTTTAAGCTGGATTGCCTTGCTATGAGAAGAAACAGATCCAGCTTGTCCCAATTTAGCGTAACTCTCTCTCGTACATTATTTGGAACCCGTTAAGAGTGGCTGTGAACATGTGGTGTAAACAATTTAAAAGATCATCTTCTAGAGAGCAAAATGTTTTCAAAGAAACTTAACCAGTCTTCACAACTGTTTGTAATACTGTAGATGAGGAAGGGGCTTGCAAAGGATCTGGCTGCCATTTGCTTACCATTCTTGGATATTTGAGTTGTGATAGTGTATTTCAATAGTTAGGTTTTCTGGTATTTTTGGATATCATCCTTCCATGACTGAAACTTACACAAGGAGTGATAAAACGAAGAGTTTTCTAGAAGCCTTTCTCACAGCAATTACTAAGTGTGAATTAGGAATACCGTGTGCCAGAATCACCAGTTTCTCTCTTGGCTTACTGCTCTCACCAAAACACTTGCAAAACCACAGAAATAAAATCCTGTTACTTCTTGACAAGCCCTGCATGTTAGTAATAACCAGTAAGAGCTGGGCAAACTCAGGAGCAGCTTCCATGCTAGTGAGTCCTGAAATATTTCCAGAAATTGTTCTTACTGTGATTGGAAAGATGAAGGATGGTTGAACAAAATTTTGCTTGTTTTGGACTGTTCATAAAGACTGACGCTGGGAGAGGCAAAAGTATTTCAAATGCAGTTTTAACTGTGCCATAAGAAGCTGTTGCTTCCAAGAAAATTGCTACCATAAGGCATGTTGGGCCATTTCCCAGTAGCTAAGGAGTTTAATGCTTATGTAGTACTGTGAATCCTGCACAAAGGATTTGAAGAGTCAGACAAAAAGAAAAGAGCTGACCTGATGAAAATGTGCCTGAAAAGGTGATACACAGTCTGCATTGTGTGCCAGGACTTCGTGTTGGTCGGGTTTTTTGCTCTCTGAATTCACAAAGGTAAGTTAAATAGTTTGTACAGTAAGCCCTTCTGGGAGCACTCCAAAGTGATGCTATAAAAACCATGCCATGCAGCAAACTCTTCTAATTCCAGCAGCTTATGTCATTAGAAAGAATTACATGGATTTCTTACTCCTCACCAATCCATAAATCATGTCTGATAATCTTCTGATAAAGAAATAGCTACAAAAGGTTATGTTACTGATTGATATTTAAACTTTTTGGATGGGTCAAATTTCAGGATTTCTTCAGTGTCTCCTGAATAATAAAAACTAGTAAATGGTTGTCAGTATATCTTATGAATCTAATTTTTGTTCACATCTTTACGACTAATATGAGCATGGAGGACTGCTTTGAGTGTTAAAATCTCTCATGTGACTCTAGTTTTAAAGAATGTAAAAGCTGAAAAGGCCCTAGAGGTAAAATCTGAGGGTCAAGAGGAATTGTAAAGAGAAAAAGATGGATGACTACATACATTTTGGATTTATTTAATTCAAGGTTTTTAAGAAAAAATCCATTTGAGGACTGTAACTACATGGTAGTAAAAAGGTGAAGCAAAGAGTTTCAAAACATGCTATGTAACATCAGTCCCATAGGGTCTGGTGGCTAGTTTGACTGATATTTTAAGTGTCTCTGATTCAAGGTCCCATAAAAAGGCCTGGGTCTTCAGAAGAAACTGCTACATGTTGAGAATCAAGACCCTGTTAAGATCGCTGTAGTTCAGTGCCCAAAAGTAGGTGCCTGCTGTTGAGAAGCTGGCCACACAGCCAGGTATTTGTACAGTACCATCTCTTACTACCTAATTGTGTTGAGTGCCTTCCTGCATTGCTATTCACATTTTCATCTCTGAACACCCTTGGGACCTGAGTGCAACTACGTGAGTGCTGCTATAGTAGAATACAAGATATTTCTGATCCGTGTTCTCACAACACAGATTTGTCAAGCATGCCATGATATAACATTACTCATGCTCTTAGCCAGACTTACACCAGCTTAATCACACAAGGATAGGTTTAGGTAAGTATCCTCAAATTGCTTCCCGTATTCAGCACAGTCTCATTACTGGGTTTCACATGACACCATTCACCACTATAGTCTTCATTTTTTTCATCTTCAGGAGTATATAATTTGTAGCTTGGGCTGCATTTTAAACCAAACAGAACTGAAGTACTATACAGTGTTTCCATTAAATATGTGCTTTCAGAAGATATGAGATACAAAATGAATGCATCAAGCAGAAATTACTCATTCACTAAGATCCAGATGAAGACACAACCTACTGAAAGACAGCAAGTTGTGCAGGTGGCCACAAATAAAAACAAAATCTCTGAATGACTGAAATTAGCCTGGTTCTTTCAGATGAAGTTATTCAAACAGCATCAATATATCTAACAGAGTTAGTCATATTTTGAAGTTTGCTATATCAAAGGGGTTTTTTTCAGGGCCTAAAATGCAAAGTTTCTCCATAAGTGTTTTCTTTTTTTTCATGTTTTTCCCTCTGCAGTGGAGTTCTTTTCCGAAGAATAAAGGTAGTCCATGGCCATGAGTAGAGATCCACTCCAATATGAGATGCTGAAACATC